ACCTGAAGGATCTGGAGAAGGTCTGTATGGAGGAGTGGGCCAAAATCCCTGCTGCAGTGTGTGCAAACCTGGTCAAGACCTACAGGAAACGTATGATCTCTGTAATTGCAAACAAAGGTTTCTGTACCAAATATTAAGTTCTGCTTTTCTGATGTATCAAATCCTTATGTCATGCAATAAAATGCAAATTAATTACTTACAAATCATACAATGTGATTTTCTGGATTTTTGTTTTAGATTCCGTCTCTCACAGTTGAAGTGTACCTATGATAAAAATTACAGACCTCTACATGCTTTGTAAGTAGGAAAACCTGCAAAATTGGCAGTGTATCAAATACTTGTTCTCCCCACTGTATATGTGCTTTCTTGAGCAGGGGGACCTTGCGGGCGCTGCAGGATTTCAGTCCTTCACGGCGTAGTGTGTTACCAATTGTTTTCTTGGTGACTATGGTCCCAGCTGCCTTGAGATCATTGACAAGATCCTCCCGTGTAGTTCTGGGCTGATTCCTCACCATTCTCATGATCATTGCAACTCCATGAGGTGGGATCTTGCATGGAGCCCCAGGCCGAGGGAGATTGACAGTTATAGTTATTTATGACAGTTTCTTCCATTTGAGAATAATCGCACCAACTGTTGTCACCTTCTCACCAAGCTGCTTGGCGATGGTCTTGTAGCCCATTCCAGCCTTGTGTAGGTCTACAATCTTGGCCCTGACATCCTTGGAGAGCTCTTTGGTCTTGGCCATGGTGGAGAGTTTGGAATCTGATTGATTGCTTCTGTGGACAGGTGTCTTTTATACAGGTAACAAAATGAGATTAGGAGCACTCCCTTTAAGAGTGTGCTCCTAATCTCAGCTCGTTACCTGTATAAAAGACACCTGGGAGCCAGAAATCTTTCTGATTGAGAGGGGGTTAAATACTTATTTCCCTCATTAAAATGCAAATCAATTCATAACATTTTTGACATGCGTTTTTCTGGTTTTATTTGTTGTTATTCTGTCTCTCACTGTTCAAATAAACCTACCATTAAAATTATAGACTGATCATTTCTTTGTCAGTGGGCAAACGTACAAAATTAGCAGGGGATCAAATACTTTTTTCCCTCACTGTATACACACTACTGATTGGGAATATTGTATTTTATAAGAATTGTTGGGGGTTAAGTAATATTACTTAACACAAAAGAAGGAAAAAAAAAAAGTGGATTGTAATGATGTCATTGTGTTGTGTGGACCAGGTTAGAGTTAGTAGATAAGTGGTTTGGTGACACAGTCTATATTCCGTTATGTCAAAGGAGATTACTGAGGTTGATCTTAGAATAATTGATGGACAGGATATAGTGACAGGGGTAAAGAGTAATAACGTCAAAGAATGGGAGTGCCCATGGAGGTTTACCAGATGTTCGTGAAGAGACTTGTAACAGAGTGTATATAAGCTGAGGGATCTCTTTGTTATGGAGTTAGGAAGTTTGAAGAGACAGGGCTATGTCTGTTATAACTAACCATGGTACCATATTATATATATTATATGAACTCCCCATCAAAAGTGTCCAAGTACATACTTATATTCGTAATCACTTGATACCCTAGAAACTCATCATAACACCTGTGAATGCATTTCAAGGCCTACCTTCAAACTCAGTGCCTCTTTGCTTGACATCATGGGAAAATCAAAATAAATCAGCCAAGACCTCAGCAAAAAAATTGTAGACCTCCACAAATCTGGTTAATCCTTGGGAGCAATTTCCAAATGCCTGAAGGTACCACGTTAATCTGTACAAACAATAGTACGCAAGTATAAACACCATGGAACCACGCAGTCGTCATACCGCTCAGGAAGGACATGCGTTCTGTCACCTAGAGATGAACATACTTTGGTGCGAAAAGTGCAAATCAATCCCAGAACAACAGCAAAAGGACCTTGTGAAGATGCTGGAGGAAACAGGTACAGAAGTATCTATATCCACAGTAAAACAAGTCCTATATCGACATAACCTGAAAGGCCGCTCAGCAAGGAAGAAGCCACTGCTCCAAAACCGCCATAAAAAAGCCAGACTACGTTTTGCAAATGCACATGGGGACAAAGATCGTACTTTTTGGAGAAATGTCCTCTGGCCTGATGAAACAAAAATATAACTGACCATCGTTATGTTTTGAGGAAAAAGGGGATGGCTTGCAAGCCGAAGAACACCATCCCAACCGTGAAGCACGGAGGTGGCAGCATCATGCTGTGGGGGTGCTTTGCTGCAGGAGGGGCTGGTGCACTTCACAAAATAGATGGCATCATGAGGAAGGAAAATTATGTGGATATATTGAAGCAACATCTCAAGACATCAGTCAGGAAGTTAAAGCTTGGTCGCAAATGGGTCTTCCAAATGGACAATGACCCCAAGCATACTTCCAAAGTTGTGGCAAAATGGCATAAGGACAACAAAGTCAAGGTATTGGAGTGGCCATCACAAAGCCCTGACCTCAATCCTATAGAACATTTGTGGGCAGAACTGAAAAAGCGTGTGCGAGCAAGGAGGCCTACAAACCTGACTCAGTTACACCAGCTCTGTCAGGAGGAATGGGCCAAAATTCACCCAACTTATTGTGGGAAGCTTGTGGAAGGCTACCCGAAACATTTGACCCAAGTTAAACAATTTAAAGGCAATGCTACCAAATACTAATTGAGTGTATGTAAACGTCTGACCCACTGGGAATGTGATGAAATAAATATAAGCTGAAATAAATCAATCACTCTCTCTACTATTATTCTGACATTTCACATTCTTAAAATAAAGTGGTGATCCTAACTGACCTAAGACAGGGAATTTTTACTAGTATTAAAATGTCAGGAATTGTGGAAAACGTTAAATGTATTTGGCTAAGGTGTATGTAAACTCTGACTTCAACTGTATATACACTCCTGTTCAAAGGTTTGGGGTCACTTAGAAATGTCCTTGTTTTTGAAAGAAAAGCATTTTTTTGTCCATTAGAATAACATCAAATTGATCAGAAATACAGTGTAGACATTGTTAATGTTGTAAATGGCTATTGTAGCTGGAAACGGCTGATTTTTAATGGAATATCTACATAAGCGTACAGAGGCCCACTATCAGCCACCATCAGTCCTGTGTTCCAATGGCACGTTGTGTTTGCTAAACCAAGTTTATCATTTTAAAAGGCTAATTGATCATTAGAAAACCCTTTTGCAATTATGTTAGCACAGCTGAAAACTGTTGGGCTGATTAAAGAAGCAATACAACTGGCCTTCTTGAGACTAGTTGAGTATCTGGAGCATCAGCAATTGTGGGTTCGATTACAGGCTCAAAATGTCCAGAAACAAATACCTTTCTTCTGAAACTCGTCAGTCTATTCTTGTTCTGAGAAATGAAGGCTATTCCATGCGAGAAGCTGCTAAGGAATTGAAGATCTCGTACAACGCTGTGTACTACTCCCTTCACAGAACAGTGCAAACTGGCTCTAACCAGAATAGAAAGAGGAGCAAGAGGACAAATACATTAGAGTGTCTAGTTTGAGAAACAGGCGCCTCACAGGTTCTCAACTGGCAGCTTCATTAAATAGTACCTGCAAAACACCAGCCTCAATATCAACAGTGAAGAGGCAACTCCAGGATGCTGACCTTCTAGGCAGAGTTGCAAAGAAAAAGCCATATCTCAGACTGCCCATCTTAATCTTTTTTTTTTTTATTGGCCAGTCTGAGATATGGCTTTTTCTTTGCAACTCTGCCTAGAAGGTCAGCATCCCGGAATTGCCTCTTCACTGTTGGCGTTAAGACTGGTGTTTTGCGGGTACTATTTTCTTTCTAAAAAAATGACATTTCTAAGTGACCCCAAACTTTTGAACGGTAGTATATATATATATATATATATATATATATTGGTAGTTACAGTCTTGTCCCATCGCTGCAACTCCCGTACGGACTCGGGAGAGGTGAAGGTCGAGAGCCATGAGTCCTCCGAAACACGACCCTGCCAAGCCGCACTGCTTCTTAACACACTGGTTGCTTAACCCGGAAGCCAGCCGCACCAACGTGTCGGACGAAACACCGTACAACTGCCGACCGTGTCAGCGTGCATGCGCCCGGCCCGCCACAGGAGTCACTAGAGCGCGATGGGACAAGGACATCCCGGCCGGCCAAACCCTCCCCTAACCCGGACGACGCTGGGCCAATTGTGCACCGCCTCATGGGTCTCCCGGTTGGAGCCGGCTGCAACACAGCCCGGAATCAAACCTGGGTCTGTAGTGATGCCTCAAGCACTGCGATGCAGTGCCTTAGACTGCTGCGCCACTCGGGAGGCCTACCCCCCTTTTCTACACTACAAGCATATGAATGAGTTTCAGCAAAGCCTCTTTTCTCCTTGGAAGTCTCAACATCCATTATCTCAGCAACCGTTTGGTTACGTCCTGACTCCATGCTGCTATCTATGAAGATGTTAGCTAGCTAATGTTAGCTAAACACGCTGAAACTTTTTGATAGCTAGCTAGCTTGTTTGTTGGAAATCGTCCCAAAAAATATTTCAATGGCTTGATTAATTACAAAATTATTTAAAATAGCTACACTGTATGGCTATATATATTTTTGTTGTTGCAACTGCAGCCTAAAATTAACAACTTTGTGAGAAAACCCTAAACTTGCTCTTCAGCTAGAAACGTTACAACCTCTCATGCCGCTATCTTGCCTCCCTCATACACAGCCTTAGTTAGAACTAAATGTATTGACACGACAAAACTGTCATCTCTGTGAGGAGATTTTACAGTGTGTGTGCCACTGCATGGATACAGTTTCGTTTTTTTAAACCCACCCCCAATGGCTGCATAAAGGTACTACACAAATACCATTTTGAAACGCAGTGGTGATCACCACCACATCTGAATATTTCATAGCTCTGAATATCAGAATAAAATTCAAATGACTAACCTCAATGACTAACAAGGCTAACTTAAGGACAATCTCCCTCCTCCCTACCCATCCCCTACTTCTCTCCCACCTACCTTCTCTGGCTCCTTGCCCTCGCAGTTGACGCTGACGGTGCTGCTATTGGCCCGTAGCCAGTTGAACTCCTTGAGCATGTGCAGGGCCTTGGGTCCGTATTCATAGGGCAGGTAGAAGAGCTCAGCTAGTAGGGTCAGGTCCTCCAGAGAGAGAGGCTCTGCCGTGTACAATGCCTTCTCATTGGGACCAGGCACAAAGACATCCTGAAAGACAAATAAAAGTAATTGTTTAAACATAAGTCACTTAATTGTAAATCACTTTGGATAATCTGAGTCACGGACACACACACACACACACACTATTTAAGGTATTTCAATTACTCTCAAAAGACATTTGAAAGTAAGAATTTGTATATTTTTTGTTTGAAAATACAAGTAGTTGAATATTGGAATACACTTGGCATGTATTTGAAGATACTGAAATACACAGAGAAGTGTATTTTCAAATACAAATATGTAAATACTCCCATGCATTTGTACCCAGGTCTGGTATTTGAAATAATGTTTGGAAAAAAGTATTTGAAAATAGTTTCAAATACTAAGCTATTTGTAGGAACTGTTTTGAAAGTACTTTCAAATACTTCCAATAGAAGTAAGGCTGCATTATTTTAAAATACTAAAATACACAGAACATAAGTATTTAAATAACAAATAACAAAATACACATGTATTTGAACCCAGGTCAGACACACACACAAACAACTTACCTGTTTGAGCTGTTCGTCTGTCTGCATGGGGGCCATGTCAATGTCCTCCTCTGGAGACTTGGACTCAGGAACCAGGACCTCCCTGTCTGTGTCCATGGGCTTCAGATCCTCTGCCATCTTGTCTATGAGGACCAGGCTGCTCTTGGTCTCAGTTGCAGCCTCTGCTAGAGGGTCTGACTCTGGGTCCGTCTCCTCTGGTTTCTCCACAACCATCTCCATGGGCTCTTCGTCTGACTCCTTCTTCTCAACATCCACCTGAACAACATTATAAACATTTAGAAAACAAGTTATTGCCTCACCATCTTGGTGATCCCATGTGGAATTTGTTTTAAACGTTCTTAAACGTTCGATTGTGTGTTTATCCTTGATCAGTTGGAATGAAATCTTTTGTTTTGTTGTACTGTATGTAGACTGAGACTTGTTTGACACAATGGAGACAAACCAGGGAAACAAACTCAAAGCCATTGGATGTGCACTGCATACTGTATGTTCTTCCCTATCTAATATAAAATGATCAAAGTTAAATCAGTAACTACCTCCTCCACCTCTTGTTGTTGCAGTCTCTTGGCCATGGGGTGGTTGTTGGGGTCGGGGGCGCCTGTAGGGGCCATGATGGGCTGTTGGAACACTGTAGTGACTGTAGTAGCAGAGCAGAGGGAGGAGGCACCTAGTGATAACACGTCAATAGCTGAACACTTAGCTCCGCTGTGGGGTACCTGGCGACCTGGAGGAGACAAGAACAGAGACATTGTCAACATAATAATAATAATAATAATATGCCATTTAGCAGACGCTTTTATCCAAAGCGACTTACAGTCATGCGTGCATACATTTTTTTTTTTTTTTTTTTGTGTAACATGCTATACAAGAGGCTTTTATAACAAATATCAACATACTAGACAAAAATATAATGGCTAGCTTTAATGCATGAGTGAAATAAGAGTGTTTAAAATCCAGTGATGGATGTTTGGAGAGACATTTACCATTGCTCCAAATGATACAGCATGAATTAAGGAAACACACACAGGTGTTATTTAAGTGATAATGCCAGAGAAGCCGGTTTGAAGGATATATTGGCACAGGAGTTGTTAGGCCCTTGGAGGGCAGGCAAACTGTGCCAATATATCCTCCAAACACCGGCTTTGAGGGCATTATCACTTTTATACAACGGGTTACCAATATATTCAAATAATGATTGACATACAGTACCAGTCAAAAGTTTGGACACACCTACTCATTCCAGGGTTTTTCTGTATTTTTACTAATTTCTACATTGTAGAATAATAGTGAAGGCATCAAAACTATGAAATAACACATCTGGAATCATGTAATAACAAAACAAGTGTTAAACAAATGAAAATATATTTTATATTTGAGATACTTCAAAGTAGCCACCCTTTGCCTTGATGACAGCTGTGCACACTGTTGGCATTCTCTCAACCAGATTCATGAGGTAGTCACCTGGAATGCATTTCAATTAACAGGTGTGCCTTCTTAAGTTAATTTGTGGAATTTCTTTCCATCTTAATGCATTTGAGCCAATCAGTTGTGTTGTGACAAGGTAGGGTTGGTATACAGAAGATAACACTATTTGGTAAAAGACCAAGTCCATATTATGGCAAGAACAGCTCAAATAAGCAAAGAGAAAACGACAGTCCATCATTACTTTAAGACATGAAGGTCAGTCAAAAAACCATCAAGCGCTATGATGAAATTGGCTTTCATGAGGACTGCCACAGGAAAGGAAGACCCAGAGTCACCTATGCTGCAGATGATAAGTTCATTAGAGTTACCAGCCTCAGAAATTGCAGCCCAAATAAATGCTTCACAGAGTTCAAGTAACAGACACATCTAAACATCAACTGTTCAGAGGAGACTGCGTGAATCAGGCCTTCATGGTCGAATTTCTGCAAAGAAACCACGACTAAAGGACACCAATAAGAAGAAGAGACTTGCATGGGCCAGGAAACACGAGCAATGGACATTAGACCGGTGGAAATCTGTCCTTTGGTCTGATGAGTCCAAATTGGAGATTTTTGGTTCCAACCGCCGTGTGAGATGCAGAGTCGGTGAACGGATCATCTCCACATGTGGTTCCCACCGTGAAGCATGGAGGAGGAGGTGTGATGGTGCTTTGCTGGTGACACTGTCTGTGATTTATTTCGAATTCAAGGTACCCTTAACCAGCATGGCTACCACAGCGATACGCCATCCCATCTGGTTTGTGCTTAGTGGGACTATCATTTGTTTTTCAACAGGACAATGATCCAAAACACACCTCCAAGCTGTGTAAGGGCTATTTGACCAAGAAGGAGAGTGATGGAGTGCTGCATCAGATAATAATATAATATAATATGCCATTTAGCAGACGCTTTTATCCAAAGCGACTTACGGTCATGCATGCATACATTTTTGTGTATGGGTGGTCCCGGGGATCGAACCCACTACCTTGGCGTTACAAGCGCCGTGCTCTACCAGCTGAGCTACAGAGGACCTCAGTTCTTGTATTTGTTTCTTTTAAAAAAGCGAGGAGTTCTGATGCAGAGAGTACCTAAGATGGCCGCCTAGCGAAAAGGCATAATTTAGTCTTCAGTTTTGCCCTGGGTCTTATAGGCCTGCTTGCGGAGGTGATTCTCGATCTCCTCACGGAACACCAGTATGCCCAGGTGAGAGTGGGACGCCTCATTCATGGCTTTGGACTGGATGCACATGCGATACTGTTCTGGAGTCAGCTCGTCTGCACACTGCTTCTCGTGCCACAGGTGGAAGAGGCCGGATACTGGCGTACGCGTCACGATCAGGTCGCTCCGCAGGTACTTCCTGTACAAGTGGACATCTTCCACACCCCAACCTTTCACTTCCAGGTCAAAACCTCCTATATTGAGGTAGTCCGAGCGGTACTGACAAGTCATTCCAAAGCCAAAATCTCTCCAGAATCCAGCATCTTTCTTGTGAATAAGTTGACTTTCAATGGGGGGAGCCAGCTCCAGATTTCCATAGACTATGGCAGGATTATACAAACTGAAAACCACCGGATAAAAGACTCTCTTGTTTGGAGTGGTGTGAAGAAGGCAGTTGTTGAGATAGTCCAGTGTGAAGTAGATATCCACATCACAGAAGAACATCAATACGTCACCCTTCTTCCAGGAGCGGGCTCCGATGTCCAGACCCCTGCCCCTGGAAAACTCCTCGTCCACTGGGATAAGGGTGTAGTTGGAAAAGCTCTCCTCCCTGGACATTTCTTCCAAATAAGACTTCACCTCTTGTAAGCCCTCTTGTCCAAAGTAGACCACCGTAAGATGCACTCCCCTATCGTGTTTTATGCAAACTTCCCTGAAGTTGTGTAGGAACTGTGAGAATGCATCTGTTCTGCCCGCCAAAGGCACAATGATATTGATGATGACTCCGGACGTTTCTACAGACGTGCTCCTGACTTTCATTAAAGGACCGAATGGACGGAAAAGAGTAACGTGGCGGACATTGTCGGAGTCCTCTTTTGCAAAGAAGAGCTCGTAGAGTGTGCCTTTGTCCCGTTCTGTTCTGTATAGCCCCTCAGTAAAGTGGCTCTCAGTGTAAGTCTGCCTCTGCATGGGCACATCATCCTCCTGGCCATCCTCCTCGTCAGGGTTGTTTATGACGTCCAGGGCCGCCTCGATGACCTCCACCAGCTCGTCCCTGCGGTCCTTCCGCACAGGCTTCTCCTCTGGGTGCCTGGTCAGCCCCATCTCCAGCTGATACACTTTACTAGAGGTGAAGCTCTCGAAGGGGACCAGGGCATACTCGCTGGGCAGCCGCGCTCCCGTGTTCACCTCGGCTTTGTCGATCTGGGAGTGGAGGAACTCGCCTCCACAATCAGGCCAGATGACCTGGCCTCCACAATCACCCGACCTCGACCCAATTGAGATGGTTTGAGATGAGTTGGACCACAGAGTGAAGGAAAAGCAGCCAACAAGCGCTCAGCATATGTGGGAACTCCTTCAAGACTGTTGGAAAAGCATTCCACGTGAAGCTGGTTGAAAGAATGCCAAGAGTGTGCAAAGCTGTCATCAAGGCAAAGGGTGGCTACTTTGAAGAATCTCAAATATATTTGTTTAACACTTTTTTGGTTACTACATGATTCCATGTGTTATTTCATAGTTTTGATGTCTTCACTATTATTCTACAATGTAGAAAATAGTAAAAAATAAAGAAACACCCTTGAATGAGTAGGTGTGTCCAAACTTTTGAATGGTACTGTATTTTCATTAAAAACGTTATTTTTATGCATTTATTCATATTATTTCATACTTCCACAAGATATAGTCCCGACACAAATCTAGGGTTGCTAACCAAGCCAGCTGGTCGTTCGTTCTATTGGTTCTGTTGACAGAGACGCGACCCAGTCGTTCAGTCTTTTTGTTCTGTATCTATGGACGCGACCCAGTCTTTCATTCTAAATGTTCCATTGCCATACTGGCTGGCAACGTTCTTATCCCTTGCTTGCTAGCTAGCCAACTACGGCTAACTTACAGTCACGTCAAACAGTGCAGACAGAATAACAACAGTAGCTGCATTTGCATTTGTTTAAGCTGTTTTCTAGTGACATATATTTGGATACATCCATAACAATAAGCTAATGAGGGGTGATTTCGCCTGGCATAGAAAATGTGCTCTCTCGTCAGGACACGGTTGTTCAGAGGAGCTAGCCAACAACACAGTTAATACAATAACTTCAAACTGAAGCTGGAAAGACTGCAAACTAGATGCACTTCGTTTCGTTTGACCTTTTTTCAATTTACATTTCTTTGTATATATCCATATAAATGATGCCAGCTGATTCATGATTTTGACTGGCTGAGAAACGCTGCCTGCCTCTCTGTCTAGTCCTGACTCCCGACCCCTACATGTTCATTACTATGGGACAGCTGGAGATCGAATTTGAATATTGAAACAATGTTGCAAATGTCGGCGAGACCGATAGCAAGGTTTATACAAATCTCCGCAGTTGAAAACGAAATGTTAGTCTAAAAGAAATGTGAGATCATGTCTAGATGCTTTTTATAGTGGAGATCAAGTTTATAAAATGCCTGGCTGGGCTGATGAGACAGTGGATTGCGCAGTCAGATGGAACAGAGTAAATAGGCATTTTAACATCATAGATTTAGCCGGTGGTAACTTGTGGAATAGACACCGGCTGGAATGCGCTTTTAACCAATCAGCATTCAGGATTAGACCCACCCGTTGTATAAATTATAGATGATAGGTAGGTGACGGTGCTTACTGTTGTACTGGTGAGGCACTAGAAACTCCCCCAGCCACTCTGTGAGGGCCAGTTTCAGGGCCAGCTGAGGGCTGTACAACATGTCTGTCTCTAACTCCTCATCACTGCCCTCATTCTCCAGCTTGATCTGGATAGACACGGTACTGTCCTCTCCATCCGCTGAGAGAAGGAGGGAGGAGGATGGAGGAAGGAAGGGAGAAGAGGAGGAAGAGAGGGAGATGAATAAGATTACTTTAATTGGTCAATTGCACACAAAATCCAACCGAAATTTGAATACTGCTTTTAACCCAACCCATCCGAAAGACACAGAGGTTTTGGAGAGGTGCGGGGGGCTGCCACACTGATAAGTAGAGGCCTGTTTGGAGTAATCAATAATGTGACTGGATTTAATTGAAAGCCATGTAATCTGAATGGACACAATGCTGTCCTCTTTCGAGACCATATCATATTTTTCTGTCATTCTTAAAAACCAACAGACACGAGACTTGGGCAGCCATTTCGTGTACCTTGTGTGACCCTACTCTACTCTATAAATACCAAAACAAACATATTCACTAGTCCAAATAGACACGTGTCTCCAACACGATACCCTGAGGAATTCACACATGGATTAACAAGCATGCATAACACTGCTAAAGACCCTAAGCCTTTAAGACAGGGATGACTACAAGGGTTACAGTCCTGTCCTGCTGCTCTTGGTTTCTATGTTGATCAATTATTGTCATTAATTGGCAATACCACTCTCAGATTCAGGACAACTATAAAAACCAACACACACAGCAGTCGTTGAGGACCAAAGCTGTACATCCCTGCATTAAGAAATGTGTATTTTTGGCTCAATCAGGCACATTACAGAACATAAATGTCCCTGACAAATACATCTAATAAAGTAAGTGAACAAATAAATAAATGAAGTCCATCCTGGTTAGACGTACCCATGACGATGATGTTATGTGTAATTTCACTATACCCAAATCCGAATGTGCCAGAAATCAGACTTACTCATGGCGACATCCTTGCGCACTCCATTCATGTTGGACTTGTACCAGGTGGCCAGGGTGTGGATGGCCACGAAGTTGGACTCAAACTCACAGTTGGGGTTGGTGAGAACCCCCTTGAGGCGGGGGATGAGCTCCGTGGAGCGCCCCTTGTACGGCCCCAGGAACAGACGCTTCTGGTCGTAGTCGTTGGCATGGATGTTGTCCCAGATTACCGGAGCTCTCTTCAGGATCTTAGAGACCTCCTCTATGGACTCCACTGTGATGTCTTTGGATACCACCTTAGGACCTTGAAACATAATGCCACATACAGTTGAAGTCGGAGGTTTACATACACGTTAGCCAAATACATTTAAACTCAGTTTTTCACAAGTCCTGACATTTAATCCTAGTAAAAATTCCATGTTAGGATCACCACTTTATTTTAAGAATGTGAAATGTCAGAATAATAGTAGAGAGAATGATTTATTTCAGCTTTTATTTCTTTCATCACATTCCCAGTGGGTCAGAAGTTTACATACACTCAATTAGTATTTGGTAGCATTTCCTTTAAATTGTTTAACTTGGGTCAAACGTTTTCGGGTAGCCTTCCACAAGTTTCCCACAATAAGTTGGGTGAATTTTGGCCCATTCCTCCTGACAGAGCTTGTGTAACTGAGTCAGGTTTGTAGGCCTCCTTGCTCACACACGCTTTTTCAGTTCTGCTCACACATTTTCTATAGGATTGAGGTCAAGGCTTTGTGATGGCCACTCCAATACCTTGACTTTGTTGTCCTTAAGCCATTTTGCCACAACTTTGGAAGCATGCTTGTGGTCATTGTCCATTTGGAAGACCCATTTGCGACCAAGCTTTAACTTCCTGACTGATGTCTTGATTGTTTCATCAGACCAGAGGACATTTCTCCAAAAAGTACGATCTTTGTCCCCATGTGCATTTGCAAACCGTAGTCTGGCTTTTTTTATGGCGGTTTTGGAGCAGTGGATTCTTCTTTGCTGAGCGGCCTTTCAGGTTATATCGATATAGGACTTGTTTTACTGTGGATATAGATACTTCTGTACCTGTTTCCTCCAGCATCTTCACAAGGTCCTTTGCTGTTGTTCTGGGATTGATTTGCACATTTCGCACCAAAGTACGTTCATCTCTAGGAGACAGAACGCTTCTCCTTCCTGAGCGGTATGACGGCTGCGTAGTCCCATGGTGTTTATACTTGCGTACTATTGTTTGTACAGATTAACGTGTAGGTCTACCATTTTTTTTCTGAGGTCTTGGCTGATTTCTGTTGATTTTCCCATGATGTCAAGCAAAGAGGTACTGAGTTTGAAGGTAGGCCTTGAAATACATCCACAGGTACACCTCCACCTCCAATTGACTCAAATGATGTCAATTAGCCTATCAGAAGCTTCTAAAGCCATGACATCATTTTCTGCAATTTTCCAAGCTGTTTAAAGGCACAGTCAACTTAGTGTATGTAAACTTCTGACCCACTGGAATTGTGATAGTGAATTACAAGTGAAATAATCTGTCTGTAAACAATTGTTGGAAAAATGACTTGTGTCATGCACAAAGTAGATGTCCTAACCGACTTGCCAAAACTATAGTTTGTTAACAAGAAATTTGTGGAGTGGTTGAAAAACGAGTTTTAATGACTCCAACCTAAGTGTATGTAAACTTCCAACTTCAACTGTAGATGTAGGAGTCATGCAAGTTATAAAGTATATTAAAATATATGTTACAAGGTCTGTTACTGTGTTTTTATCTTATAATAGTAAGGTTAATTCCATCTAATGAGTGCCAAAACATGTGGGATATGAACTTGTTTGGATCTACTGTACCCGTCCACAGCACTTCAATACCAGGCAGCAGCTTCTCGCCCACTGTGTGCAGGTAGGGGGACTGGGCCACATTGGGGTAGCAGAACGTTCCACAGTACTCTGGTTTAGGGAAATACAAAGAAAAACATACATGAACTCTATCTTCCTTCGACTTTGAATTCAGCCCAAATTTCAGTAACAACATACATAGATACAGGGTGTATGTGTTACCTGTGGGGCAGAATAGGAAGGTCTCAGGCTCTCCCAGGTACTGAAAGATCTCGTTGGTGATAGACACCTGGGCATGGGCAAAGGAGCTGAACACTTCCTTGTCTGCGGGGCACATGTTGTGGTCGATGTCGTCAAACAGTAAGGCAAATGACTTGCAGCCAAAGTGAGTCACCTAAGGGAGAGAATGAATTTCATGTTACGACTCCGGTAAATGAGTGAGTGCAGACAGTCAAGGGTGTAGATAAGACAGTACTCCTCTAACACAATCCTAAAAATCAGCACATTAGCAGTTGGTATTAGCAGAAAGGTAAGGAAGAAGGAGAGATGCATTTTTTAAAACAGGTTGTGTTACCTGGTCCAGTTTCCTCTTGAGTGTGGACACTTCTTTCTGGTTAGAGAAGGTGATGTCTAGGCCCGGGGAGATGGCATAGATGAACTCGGTCCCATACTCCTTTGCAGCACTGATCAGGGTCATCAGTTGTTCTATAAGAGAGAGATGCATTAGTTACAGATACTATTTCACATCAGTGTGACACTCACTCAGTATTGATGTGAAATATGTGAGGCTTGGTTTGTTTATTACATATTTGTATGTATATGTGACAGGAATCATTTCAACCCATGGCCATGATGAGACAGCCTCACCTGCTTCTTCTACTGAGTACATCTCTCTCCAGAACATCCTGTGTTTGTAGTCATCTTTAGGAGCGTAGAGGTATGTGTTCAAGCCCCATTTCTGCTGTCTGGGGAAAAACACATATTGTGATTAACACATGCTTTGTGCGACATGGTTTGCTTTGTTTATCATATAATATATTGTCAAAATAGATTTAAGCCACTTCTAATTTGATGATATTGAAAACTTCAGTACATTCACTGATTCCATTATGATAGAGCACTAGTCAACACCATATGCCAGCCTGCTGGACATAACTATTATATTACCTCCTGAACAGCTCTTTCCTTTGTTCCATTGTCCATGGCCGGCCGTAGAAGCCTGTTGCAAACAAAATAAGAAAGATTGTCATTTAAGCCCTTGTTCTACTTACCCAGAGGCTTGTGGATACTATGTCTCCACGTGCAGTATGAAGGAAGTTAGCGGTAGTTTCGCGAGCCAATGCTAACTAGCGAGCGCAATGACTGGATAAAAATGGTATCCACGAGTTCATCCGACTCTGGGTAAGTAGAAACATTTGAGAATCTTCACTTAAAGAATCTCGCAGTATCCCTTAACACACACAGCAAACATTCCAGGCCTGCAGACATCCACCCTTATCTATTCCCCTGGCAGTGTACATTCAGCTGCCACGTGTTTGCCCTGAAGACAGTATAGGTGTTGCTTTGGGCTCCTCCTTGATCAGTGTTTTCCACACATAGCAAGAGGCTGTTGTTTAGCGGTGTTTTTTGTAGCGCATGTGCTGGTAGAGTTTGCAAAACAAAAACCCACTGGATTGATGAAAATAATAATGATATCATTCTGCCAGGTCATATCATTGCTACTTTGTAGTTAAAATTTCATTGAGAAGGTTTTTGGGAAAGCCTTTCCATCTCCCAGAAGGTTGTTCACATTAGCATAATTGCTAAAGGCTACACAAAGTAGGTAGACTTGCGCACCGCACACACACACACACACAGGCAGGGGCATTCTTGATGCCTCTTCAGAAAGTTGCAGGAAATATGAATCACTGATGCATTATGTTAATGTATTATGATAAAATTGGGCAAATTAATTCATTTTCAATACATTTAGTTGATTCCCTACTAAGGTCAAGATATTTTTTTATATTGTTGAATTCCGTTTTAATGCCAGGATTCCGTGAGGGTCACAATTATCATATTTGGACCAGAAGGAGCTCTCCATTACTTATTGTTCCTGCAGTGATGATTGACCATCTTTTTCTGATGTTTTCATTATTTAAAATTGTCAGTTAAATCGGCAAAAAGGCTTATTTTGGACAGATTTAGGCGAGAGTGAAACCTCTCGCTTCCGCTCTTCCTCTCTGCAGCGTTTCTCTGTCATCACTCGCTTTGTGACTGACATGCGTCTATTCTATCAATAGATCGCTAGAAGATGCATATCGTTCATTCCAGCAGAAGAGGGCTCGACGGACTAGCGAATTAAAACTTTTAAATGAAAAGTAGCCTAGTTAATAAGAAGTGTAAAATGTATCCGGCTGAAAATGTGTCTGTAACCGGCTGATTAGCCGACAGCCAGCGCTAATGAAAAACACTGCCTTGATGCGATGCTCTTTGGGCTTGTTCGACATTGCTGCCTACAGTGTAGGCGACTTCCTACTGACTGATCTACAAATCACATTGCAACATAAATAACGACTCATTCCATGTAGATCAGACAGTCACAATTTACCCCAGATATATCAAGGTTTTGATGCACTCGAACACGGCCATTGAAGGAGTTCTATTAACCTGAGCCGCGGTGCACCGGTCTATAGCCTGTGACATAAATAGCCAAAAGCGGAAGGAGCGCCCTTTTCAAATGAACAGTAATCTGCGCACCTCGGTCATGTTGTCAACAAGGCAGCATGGTGCATTGTCCAGAAACATACAACATATTGAAGTCGGAAGTTTACATACACTTAGGTTGGAGTCATTAAAACTAGTTTTTCAACCACTCCACAAATGTCTTGTTAACAAACAATGGTTTTGGCAAGTCGGTTAGGACATCTACTTTGTTCATGACACAAGTCATTTTTCCAACAATTGTTTACAGACAGATTATTTCACTTATAATTCACTGTATCACAATTCCAGTGGGTCAGAAGTTTACATACACTAAGTTGACTGTGCCTTTAAACAGCTTGGAAAATTCCAGAAAATGATGTCATGCCTTTAGAAGCTTCTGATAGGCTAATTGACACCATTTGAGTCAATTGGAGGTGTACCTGTGGATGTATTTCAAGGCCTACCTTCAAACTCAGTGCCTCTTTGCTTGACATCATGGGAAAATCAACAGAAATCAGCGAAGACCTCAGAAAAAAAGTTGTAGACCTCCACAAGTCTGGTTCATCCTTGGGAGCAATTTCCAAATGCCTGAAGGTACCACATTCATCTGTACAAACAATAGTATGCAAGTGGAAACACCATGGGACCACGCAGCCGTCATACCGCTCAGGAAGGAGATGAGTTCTGTCTCCTAGAGATTAACGTACTTTGTTGCGAAAAGTGCAAATCAATCCCAGAACAACAGCAAAGGACCTTGTAAAGATGCTGGAGGAAACAGGTACAAAAGTATCTACAGTGAGCTCCATAATTCATTGGACAGTGACCATTGTTTTGTTATTTTGGTTCTGTACTCTAGCACTTTGAGTTTGAAAGGATACAATGACAATGAGGGTGAAGTGCAGACTGTAAGCTTTAATTTGAGGGTATTTTCATACATATCGGATGAACCGTTTAGAAATGACAGCACCTTTTGTACATGGTCCCCCCATTTTAAGTATCTGTTAAATTGGCTACACAGATCTGTGTCGTTAGGCAGGGGTATTCATTTGTGTCGTTAGTCAATGCAGGAGAGCTGTTGATGAATAGTATCGATTCTAGACTTTGCTATTGCCTTTGGAGGTTGTTGTTGGGGTGTGACAACATGAGGAAGACAGCAGTGTCGATGCAAATGAAGCTGGCCGTCATAACGCTCAGAAATGAAAACAGGAACATTGCAAAAACCCTGGCCATGCCCAAGTCAACAGTTTGGTTCATCATTAACAAGAAGAAGAAAAAAACCGGTGAACTCAATTATGTCAAAAGACCCGGTAGACCGAGGAAGACCACTGTAGTGGATGACCGGAGAATACTCTCCATGGTGAAGAAAACCCCCCTGACAACAGCCCAACATATCAAAAACACTCTCCTGGATGCAGGTGTAGATGTGTCAAAGTCTACCATACAGTGGGGAGAACAAGTATTTGATACACTGCTGATTTTGCAGGTTTTCCTACTTACAAAGCATGTAGAGGTCTGTAATTTTTATCATAGGTACACTTCAACTGTGAGAGACGTAATCTAAAACAAAAATCCAGAAAATCACATTGTATGATTTTTAAGTAATTCATTTGCATTTTATTGCATGACATAAGTATTTGATACATCAGAAAAGCAGAACTTAATATTTGGTACAGAAAACGTTGTTTGCAATTACGTTTCCTGTAGGTCTTGACCAGGTTTGCACACACTGCAGCAGGGATTTTGGCCCACTCCTCCATACAGACCTTCTCCAGATCCTTCAGGTTTCGGGGCTGTCGCTGGGCAATACGGACTTTCAGCTCCCTCCAAAGATTTTCTATTGGGTTCAGGTCTGGAGACTGGCTAGGCCACTCCAGGACCTTGAGATGCTTCTTACGGTGCCACTCCTTAGTTGCCTTGCCTGTGTGTTTCAGGTCGTTGTCATGCTGGAAGACCCAGCAACGACCAATCTTCAATGCTCTTACTGAGGCAAGATCTCGCGATTCATGACCCCATCCAGCCTCCCTTCATTACGGTGCAGTCGTCCTATCCGCTTTGCAGAAAAGCATCCCCAAAGAATGATGTTTCCACCTCCATGCTTCACGGTTGGGATGGTGTTCTTGGGGTTGTACTCATCCTTCTTCTTCCTCCAAACACGGCGAGTGGACCACATGACCTTATCCCATTCCTCCTCTGGATCATCCAGATGGTCATTGGCAAACTTCAGACGGGCCTGGACATGCGCTGGCTTGAGCAGGGGGACTTTGCGTGCGCTGCAGAATTTTAATCCATGACGGCGTAGTGTGTTACTAATGGTTTTCTTTGAGACTGTGGTCCCAGCTCTCTTCAGGTCATTGACCAGGTCCTGCTGTGTAGTTCTGGGCTGATCCCTCACCTTCTTCATGATCATTGATGCCCCACGAGGTGAGATCTTGCATGGAGACCGAGGGTGATTGACCGTCATCTTGAACTTCTTCCATTTTCTAATAATTGCGCCAACAGTTGTTGCCTTCTCACCAAGCTGCTTGCCTATTGTCCTGTAGCCCATCCCAGCCTTGTGCAGGTCTACAATTTAATCCCTGATGTCCTTACACAGCTCTCTGGTCTTGGCCATTGTGGAGAGGTTGGAGTCTGTTTGATTGAGTGTGTGGACAGGTGTCTTTTATACAGGTAACGAGTTCAAACAAGTGCAGTTAATACAGGTAATGAGTGGAGAACAGGAGGGCTTCTTAAAGAAAAACTAACAGGTCTGTGAGAGCCGGAATTCTTACTGGTTAGTAGGTGATAAAATACTTACGTCATGCAATAAAATGCAAATGAATTACTTAAAAATCATACAATATGATTTTCTGGATTTTTGTTTTAGATTCCATCTCTCACAGTTGAAGTGTACCTATGATAAAAATTACAGACCTCTACATGCTTTGTAAGTAGGAAAACCTGCAAAATCGGCAGTGTATCAAGTACTTGTTCTCCCCACTGTACGTAGAAGTCTACACCAGCAGGACTACAGAGGGTACACTACAAGATGAAACCACTGATAAGCCTGAAGAACAGAAAGGCGAGATTACAGTTTGCTAAAAAGCACCTAAAAAGAGCCCCAAGAGATGAACATGTACCAGAGTGATGGAAAGGGGAAAGTGTGGAGAAAATAAATGCCCATGATCCAAAGCATACCACCTCATCCGTGAAGCATGGTGGAGGGGGTGTTATGGCTTGGGCCTGTATGGCTGCCAGTGGAACAGGCTCACTTGTCTTCATCCAAAAAGTTGAAAATCCTTAACTGGCCGAGTCAATCACCGGATCTGAATCCAATTGAACATGCATTTTACATGCTGAAGAGGAGACTGAAGGCAATAAGTCCCCGAAACAAGCAGGAACTGAAGATGGCTGCAGTACAGGCCTGGCAGAGCATCACCAGGGAAGATACCCAGCATCTGGTAATGTCGATGCATCGCAGACTTCAAGCACTACTGAGCCTCAATTTTTCTTCTGAGGTCTTGGCTGATTTCTTTTGATTTTCCCATGATGTCAAGCAAAGAGGCACTGAGTTTGAAGGTAGGCCTTGACATACATCCACAGGTACACCTCCAATTGACTCAAATGATGTCAATTAGCCTATCAGAATCTTCTAAAGCCATGACATCATTTTCTGCAATTTTCCAAGCTGTTTAAAGGCACAGTCAACTTAGTGTATGTAAACTTCTGACCCACTGGAATTGTGATACAGTGAATTATAAGTGAAATAATATGTCTGTAAACAATTGTTGGAAAAATGACTTGTGTCATGCACAAAGTAGATGTCCTAACCGACTTGCCAAAACCATTATTTGTTAACAAGTCATTTGTGGAGTGGTTGAAAAAAACGATTTTTAATGACTCCAACTGTAGCTAGGGCCCCATTTCAAGCTTCTGCAGAAGCCATTATCGAAGCTGGGCCCGGTTTCCTGATAGCGATGGAACTTTGGCTAACGAGTGTTTTAACGATGCATCGTTCCTACAACGGCCGAAGATGTAACATATGTTTCTCAATACACAACACAGAGAGAACGTTCGCTAAGTGCGTCGTTGAGGCAGGTGAGATACTTTCAAAAGGCAGGGCAGGATGGATATAGGTCTGTAACAGTTTGGATCTAGAGTGTCACCCCCTTTGAAGAGGGGGATGACCGCGGCAGCTTTCCAATCTCTGGGGATCTCAGATGATACGAAAGAGAGGTTGAACAGGCTAGTAATAAGGGTTGCTACAATTTCGGCGGCTAATTTTAGAAAGAAAGGGTCCAGATTGTCTAGCCCAGCTGATTTGTAGGGGTCCAGATTTTGCAGCTCTTTCTGAACATCAGCTATCTGAATTTGGGTGAAGGAGAAGCAGGGGGGGGCAGAGCTGGTGACCGGGGTAGGGGTAGCCAGGTGGAAAGCATGGCCAGCTGTAGCAAAATGCTTATTGAAATGTATCGGTGGTGACAGTGTTTCCTAGCCTCAGTGCAGTGGGCAGCTGGGAGGAGATGCTCTTATTCTCCATGGACTTTAGTGTCCCAAAACGTTTTGGTGTTAGTGCTTGAAAAAGCTAACCTTTGCTTTCCTAACTGATTGTGTATATTGGTTCCTGACTTCCCTGAAAAGTTGCATATCGCGGGGGCTGTTCGATGATAATGCAGTACGCCACAGGATGTTTTTGTGCTGGTCAAGGGCAGTCAATTCTGGGGTGAACCAGGGGCTATATCAGTTCTTAGTTCTGAATTTTTTTAATGGGGCATGCTTATTTAAGATGAAGAGGAAAGCACTTTTAAAAGAACAACCAGGCATCCTCTACTGACGGAATGAGGTCAATATCCATCCAGGATACCCGGGCCAGGTCAATTAGAAAGGCCTGCTCGCTAAAGTGTTTTAGGGAGCATTTGACAGTGATGAGGGGTGGTCGTTTGACCGCGGACCCATTATGGACGCAGGCAATGAGGCAGTGATCGCTGAGATCCTGGTTGAAGACAGCGGATGTGTATTTAGAGGGTAAATTAGTCAGGATGATATCTATGAGGATGCCCATATTTACGGTTTTAGGGTTGTACCTGGTAGGTTCCTTGATCATTTGTGTGAGATTGAGGGCATCTAGTTTGGATTGTAGGATGGCCGGGGTGTTAAGCATATCCCAGTTTAGGTCAACAAGCAGTACGAACTCTGAGGATAGATGGGGGGCAATCAATTCACATACGGTGTCCAGGGCACAGCTGGGGGCTGAGGGGGGTCTGTAGCAAGCGGCAACAGTGAGAGACTTATTTCTGGAAAGGTGGATTTTTAGAAGTAGAAGCTCAAACTGTTTGGGCACAGACCTGGATAGTATGATAAAGCTCTGCAGGCTCTCTCTACAGTAGATTGCAACTCCGCCCCCTTTGGCAGTTCTATCTAGATGGAAAATGTTGTAGTTGGGGATGGACATTTCTGAATTTTTGGTGGCCTTCCTAAGCCTTGATTCAGACACTGCTAGAACATCAGGGTTGGTGGAGTGTGCTAACGCAGAGTAGCTAGCGTTTTCACAAGAGACTGTTTACATCGTAGATAGAAGCAGGCCATTGGCTGCCTTCATCACGAGGGGTATGTACGGGAGTTCTGGTTGGTTTAGTAGGCAGAGTGTTGAAAAATACTTGTTATTAGAAAATGTGCAAGAATTGAAGGTGCCAACAAATGTTATACTCAATGTTTTACTGTCATTACAAAAAAAAATCTGAGAGGTGGATAAACCATGTGATTCTATGTTTAGGTGAGATCTTCTGTGTATACAGTGACACAGGAGGGCAAAAAAGCATCTAGCGACGCACTTCGCTGTTCTACGAGTGGTCTGATTCAGGCGTTAGATTACGAGCATTTAAGTACAACATTAATGGCTTCACCTAATTTCAGTTTGTGACAAAACAAGCAAGTATAGTGTAGGGAATCATTGTACCATCTAAAGCGCTGTGAAATGTATTTTCCATAACCAAAAATATTGTATTTTCAGCTGTTTGAAGCTGGTGTACAAAACTTAAAAGGGAAGCTAAGAAATAGTCCTGTGTAGCTCAGTTGGTAGAGCAGGGTTGTGGGTTCGATTCCCACGGGGGGCCAGTATAAAAAACAAACATGTATGCAGTCACTAACTGTAAGTCTGCTAAATGACGTTAAAAAAAAATATTTGCTCACATAGAACAGATCTACCACTTCTTAGGAGAAGGGTGCAATTGTGGCCTGCAATTCGGGGCGTTCCTGCATGTGGGCATTCCTGCATCTGCAGGAACCCCTCTATACTTCTCTATTGGTACATTTTGAAGCTAGGACAGGCGGGAGGTGGGAGCGATCCAGTACAGTAGGTGGTGTTAATGTACAATAAACATTGTATGCCAGCCACTGATAAACCACAGAGAGGAGGGGGGGGGGGCCACAACGGTAGCTAGGTAGCCATACTCCAGTAGACCCTGTCCTTCGTCCTCGCCTGTCGGGCACTGTTTTCTCGCAGTTCTGTTAATGACAGCGTGGGCAGGTGTTCGGCAGGCGGGAGCAAAGGACACTGTGTGCTAGCTTAGCCAGCTAGTCCGGTACACAGCAGGCGGGAGGCAGGGGTGACACTGTGTGCTATAGTTAGTGAACACATGGTGTCGCCCCAGCCTCCCGTGCTAGCGGGGGGGGGGGGGGACGGGGGGACGTGCGGCGCGACCGGTAGACAGTGTCCTTTCACCCCCGCCTATCAGGCACCGTTTTCCCACATTTCTGTTAATGACAGTGAGTGCAGGTGTTCGGCAGGCGGGAGAAAAGAACCCTGTCTACTGGTGTCGCTCCCGCTCGCTAACAAGGAGGACTCCGGGAGGCGCAAAAACTCTGATAATACATTCAATGGGAGGCTAGAGGGGGGGTGTTCATGAAGGAACCAATGGGATGCTCCGGGAGAGGGGCGTTCCTGCAGATGCAGGAATGCCCACATGCCGGAACACCCCGAATTGTGGGCTGCAGTTGCACACGATCGCTTCTTATAGACTTGCTTTCAATGAGAATGACAGATCTATAACTCACATTTCTATGTTAATTTGGTCAGGTGGCCCAAAAAGTTACATATTGCAGCTTTAAGATGCTCCTAAGAAGTTTCTAATGATAGCCTTTAGATGCTTTTGGGAAACCAGGCCCTGATCGATTTAAAAATAACAACATCCAGGATGGGCCATCGACCTTGAGTAGTTGTTAATAGCACAATACAGTGTTAATAAGAGTCCTGCATAATCACAATCATTCTCTAATTATTCTGGCATTCTTTCTGCATCTAACTAGTCTGCAAATCCTATATGCATCAAAATCATAACACGAAAATCACTAGCTATAGCAAATCAACGTGCTTTTTTCAATATAATATGTTCTGCTCACCCTCCACGACTCCACTGATGAATTTCCTGCGGCCCGATAGTTCCACCCCGATGCTTCTCGTTTCTTCCACTGAGCCAGGGGCTTCGGAACCAGCCTCAGACGGCCCCGAGTTTGGGCTCGCCTCAACCTCCACTTGAGACGTCCCCACCACCGCCTTACCTTTCTGAACCATTTCTATAGACTGTCTGTTGTAAAAAAAAAAACTTGTTTGAACAAGAGGGGAGTCTGACCTGAAACTCCGACAATAGGAGGTTAGCAGGCCATCGCGAGGACTTGAAAGGAGAGGGGAAATACACCGTGTAGTTTACTAACGTGTAACGTTAGTTTACTGACAATCCCCGGCGTTGTTCACAGGCCGCAGTGTGCAAAAATATTGCTCGACTTGTCTGTCCAAATTAGGTTCTTGCAAACAATTTTCTAGTAAAACGAAACGACAGCTACTAGCTTCAGTTAGTTGCCAATCTGTCAAAAAAAAAAAAACTAGCTAACGTAACGTTGCTGGCAATGCTGACTATCGTCGTGTACCACTGTGCTAAAATACTTCATTCAGAATAAATATCATATAATATTGTATTTGTTGACATACTCGTGCGCTAAAATAATATAATCACGATTAATCAATGAACGTTATGATTATTTCCGTTGAATATCTAGTCGTCTTCTAGATTTTCCCTGGTTTTCGCAGCTTCTTCCTGTTTACACCGATTGCGCCTGCTCAAAGGACTGGATCAAACCAGTCACAACCGGACTTTTGTGGCAAAACACAATTCCATAACCAAGATAGTAGAGTAGAGTTCCACAACCAAGATAGTGGAGTTCTTCTTCTTCGTTGGGGTTGGGTTGGCGGATCGCATCCTCCTTTTAGGTGCATACACCGCCACCTACTGTACTGGAGTGTGAGACCAGTCACGGCCTACCAACATTAACTTCCAGTAAAACAAAATTAGGAAAAAGGAAAAGGAAAATTACCTTGCCAACTATTAGGCTATTTCCACTATTTAACCCTATCTAATCCTACATCAACGGTCTGGGAGGACAGAACACTACCACTCAACACCCCCTGCAAATCTTCTGCAGTAAAACCTCTCAATCCTAAGTACTTCTCTGCAGCTGCCGCCACCCTCACCCTGTACCCATCTTTCTCTACCACTCTCTTCACTGCTTCAGGATACGACACCTTCTGTACTACTCTAACCCTGGCAACCTCAACCTGCCTTTCTCTCATCGGACACCTCCGATCTTCAGTCCCATGGGCATTGGGGTCACCAGACCTGGGCTTTCAGGGCTCTAGCCCCGAATGATTTTTTTCTCAGCCTTGACTCTTTTGCCCTGCTGGGATGGTGTAAAACAAACTAGCCTACACTGCATTACACACTGCAATGAATACTCCAATCATGTGCCTTCTTCTTGTTCTTGTTCTTCTTCGATGGGGTTTAACGGCATTTGGCATCCAATTTTAATGGTGCATTACCGCCACCAGCTGGACGGGGTGTTGAATAAGAAACAACAAAAATACATTTTGGGAAAACGACGTCATACAAAAGAAAACCATCACACTCCTTCAATCAAAGTCCACTCCAAAATACATCCCTACACAGTCTCAGGGGCCTGTGATATGGGTACGTTCACCGCCAGGATTTCTTGCACGGCCTCGGCTGTGAAATCACGAGGACCCAAAAAGCGTTCAGCAGCATTCACAATCATTCCAATTTTCTTAGACTTCTTCTCCGCTTGTGCTGTACAGTGCTGTACAGTTGCAATAAATAATACAAAGTCCACCTTTTTAACATGTAGCATTTCACTATCCCTCGGGTGATGAGAAACCTTCACTGGTCGTGGTGGCTCTACTACCATTGCTTCTTCCCCGTCACTGGTTCCTTCCAATTTTCTCACCGCCTCCAGATAGGAGACATGCTGGACACGCCTTACCCTTGCCACTTCATTCTCCTTCACCCTAACAGGGCACTCCAAGAATTCAGGCGCATGTTCACCTCCACAGTTGCAACCTTTCCCTTCTGCACACACTTGACACATGACCAAATCTTTTACATTTATGACACTGAAGGGGCTTGTGCACAAAAGCTCTTACAGGGTATCTCATGAATCCTAACTTTACATGAGAAGGGAGAGACTCTTCATCAAAGAACAGTAGCATGGATGAAGTGAATTTATTTTCTCCGTCCACCATACAGGTCAGTCGACGTGCTAATCATGTGCCCTGCCCTGCCTTTTTAGTGCTGCCTAAAATCAGCATTTCTGTGTACAGTGGCACTTCAGGAGGCGGAGTCAAAGTGGTTTTCCAAAGTCATTTTTGATTCGTCCAAATAAATTATATTTTGGCGCGCACGGGCGACTGTTCACTCTGTGTTTTACCCGAGCAGAAGACAAGCGGTCGAGCATGGCGTCTTCAGCGAAAAGACGAGCAGTTGGAAAGGGAGTAAGTCCCGATGATAACAGCTCGGATGAGGGATCGGAAGATGATGGTGATTCAGGAGAGAAAGACAGCGGATCAGAAGAGGAGAGCAATGAAGAGGTCAAGGCCGAGGATAAAATAGACGCCGGAAGGGAAAGGAAGGGGAAAATGGAGTCCTTACAGAAGGCAAGAAACAGATATAGGTTTGGAGAAATGCAGTATTATCATAAGGAGACGTATACTTGGATGAATGAGGAGGAATGGAGGGAAAAAGAGAGGCAGAGGAGGTCTAAGAGAGAGATGGAGGAAGATTGTGAGTTTGAGTCAGTTAAAAAAGGCGGGAAAAAGGGAGAAGGTTTGTTAAAGAAGAGTGGTAGGAAATGTAAGCAAAGTGAGCTGAAGACAGAAGTAGAAATGGAAGTGAATGAGGGTGATGTTTCGGAGGTGGAAGGTGTGGTGAAGTACAATTATCACTAGACCACTTCTGGTTACCCTCACCGATTCCACTTTACCCAACGCTCTTTTCACCCATCTTGAAACCACAATTGGATCAGCCAAAAGGCAAGGATCCATTTTTTCCACAAACTTCACTCCTACTGTCACAGACTAATCTTTATCCTGACCCGCTGTGCAATCCTTGCCTTTTGGCTGATCCAATTGTGGTTTCAAGATGGGTGAAAAGAGCGTTGGGTAAAGTGGAATCGGTGAGGGTAACCAGAAGTGGTCTAGTGATAATTGTTTGTGTTTCTGTTGGGCAGAGGGAGAAGGCGCTCAGAGTTAAACAAATGGGGGAAAGAATTGTGAATTGTTTCGCTCTTAAGAAAAGGGTGCCATTGAGAGGAGTGATTACTGGAGTAGCAGTGAATGTAAAAGTTGACCAACTGAAGGGGAAGATTCCCGGTGTGTGATGCTCATCGTTTGGTGCGACGTAAACAGGGTGGCGAGAGTGGGGAAACAGAAGAGTCATTGTCTGTACTTTTGAGTTTTGAAGTTGAGTCTTTGCCTGAGAAAGTGAGGTTAGGATATATGTTATCCAGTGCGAGCATATGTGCCGAATACCTTAAGATGTTACAGGTGTCAAACTTATGGGCATGTGACAGCAGTGTGTAGGAGGGGGATTCCAAGGTGTGAAAAGTGTGCAGAAGGGCATGAGACAAAGGAGTGTGAAGCAGTGGGGAAAGTGGTGGTGTGTGCTAATTGTAGGGGTGGACATGGGGCTGGGGATCAGACATGTCCAGTGTGAGAGAAGCAAGTTGAGGTATCCAGGGTAAGAGTAGAGAAGAAGTTGTCATATGCGGAGGCAGTGAAGAAAGTAGAGGAAGATGAGTCAAGGGGGAGGGATCCTGAGAGAAATGGTGTGAGTAGTAGAGATGTACCAGTACAGAGAGATAAACCAAAAAGTGATATATGGTTCAACAAGATTGGATTTTTAAGCGTTTATAGCAATGGTTATTCATTGTACTGCAGGGATGGAATGCAAATCGAATAAAATTGAGGTGGTGGTGGTGGCAGCTGCAGAGAGGTATTTGGGTGTGTGAGACTTGACAGCAGAAGAGTTACAGGGAGTGTTAAGTGGTGATGTCCTTCAATTCAGGTTGAGGGCATGAGGTAGGAGTGAGTGTATTTAAACAGTGGAGAAGGGTGGGGTTAATTATTAGTTGTAGTGTTGAAGGTGTGAGTGTAGTGTTAGATGGTAGGATATTTCTTTGCTTTGGTTTATTTTTCAAGGAAAGATAAGGGAGTTGAACTCCAGTCTAGTAGGTGGTGGTAATGCAACAAATTGGATGCCAACCGCCGTTAAACCACATTGAAGAAGAAGAAGATGTTCACTCTGTGAGGGAGAGAGCCCAAAGTTGAGAAGGAGAACAAGAGGTAAACTTTTATCTTGCTATTACTATAGTACATGTTGTTAGCCCATGATGATGTTATTCAGAGTTATTGACCTCACAGTAAGCCATATTCGAGGAACTTTCCTTACAACATGTTGACTCAAAAGCTGCACTGACAGATAACGTTAAGCTAACTAACTAACGTTAGGGACTACCCAGTCCAGCTAGCAGTGCTGCTAACATTTAAACATAATCGAAAGGATGGCAGCCTAAAATCCTGCTATATTGCAAGTAACTGGAACATTATTTCATGCAAAACGTTAATTTGTGTTCTAGGCTTCCACCCTTTGTATTGTTTTGGAACTGCACTGTGCGCACAGCATGACGAGCTCACATTAGTTAGCAGTAATGTGACCAACATCAACATTAGGCTTCTTTTTTTTTTATTGCCAATCAAATATTGGACATGGTTTATAAAAACATTGCAACAAAATATTGAAAAAATACTTTTCCCAACAATTTTTCTAAATGGAAAATTATGATATAGTTATGCACTTGTCATGGGCACCCCCACAGTTTCCACACACAACTTTCTCCACTAACACTACACATTCCTTAGTTTCATGCCCTCCTGCACACTTCTCACATCTAGGAATCTCACTCCTACACACTGCTGCAACATGACCATAAGCTTGGCACCTAAAACACTGTAGTATTTTCGGAAAACAAAAGCTCTCACGGGATAACTAGCACATCTTAACTTGACCTTGTTGGGAAAAGACTGCATCAAAACTCAGCAGGACAGACAATGTCTTCTCCGTTTCACCACTCTCTCCACCGGGTCTGCGTCGCACCAAACGGTGGGCGTCACAGACACCAGGAATCTTCCATTTCAGCTGATCCTCCTCCACATTTAATGCCACCCCTGTT